AAAGAGTTAAGCGCTCCTGCCTGCAACTTCTCTACTTCAGCCTTTTCCCTCTAAAAAGCTGCTTTCTCCCAATTTGTCTTACGGAGTTGTACACATTCTACAGAAGATGCCAAGGAGGCTTAAAAAAAAAATTAGGACGAATTTGCAATGTAGCTCTACGAGCAGCGATCACAGCTAAATGGAACTTCCATGTTCCATGGCAGTGTATCTCTGAACACCTAGTGCTGGAGGCAAACCCCAGGAAAAAAGCCCTCTGCTTGAGACTTCTGTAAACTTCCAGAAGCATCTCGATAATTGGCCAAGTAGCCCTTGGCCTAATCCCAGTTCATTGTCCGACCCCGCAGCAAACAACGAAGTACACACTTGCAGGAAGGTTTTACTTTATTGAAGCCATGAAGCACTTGAACAGAGGCACTGTTCAGAATAACGAAATGTGCGGTGCAAGGTAGTACAAAGCAAGTTCATAATTACAATAGCCAACAGATATGGTTCCCGCGCGCGGCCGGCTCGCGCTCAAACCCTGAGAAGCAACGGTTCCTTAATTATAGACAATCATTCTATTCCCACACTATTGCTCATTAAAGACTAAGCAAAGCCGTCTGTGCTCTTCCACCTGTGGCCTTGGCGAGATAGCGTTCCATCAAAGCAAGACTAGTGTTCATAGAAAGGAATGCATGCTAATGGGAAGATGTGCACATGACAGGCTGAACGCACTTGCTAGCCGTTGGGGGGGGGGTTCCAGAAATAATACACACACAGGAAAGAACCTTTGGCAGCTTGCTGACACTGGCTCATCCTGGGTTCTCGGTCCTTCGCAAATCCCAGACTAAGGGCAAGAGCAAAAATCACCTTGTGTAGAGACATTTAAATACATTTATTCTCTCTAACTATGCGGGGGAGGGAATAAAAAGCAGCCACCGGCCCCTCCACCTAAAATAAGACATTCCAGTCAGCAGAAGGAGAAGAGGAGATTGGATTTATACCCCACCCTTCACTACCCGAAGGAGTCTCAGACTGGCTTACCATCTCCTTTCCCTTCCCCTCCCCACAACAGACCCCCTGTGAGGTAGGTGGGGCTGAGAGAGCTCTGACAGAAACGGCTCTTTTTCCAAGAACAGCTCTTATCAGAACTACGGCTTGCCCAAGGTCATCCAGCAGGTGCAAGTGGAGGAGTGGGGAATCAAACCCCGTTCTCCCAGATTAGAGTCCGCGCACTTCACCACTACACCAAACTGGCCTTCTGCTGATGTTGCCTCCTGGGCTTTAGAGGTCCACAGTCCTCTGACTGCGAGTCTCTTTCCAAGGAAAGTGTCACTGGACTTGACGGGGATTGAACCTGGGACCCTCTGCACGGAGAACAGCCCCCCTGCCACAGCCCCCCTCCCCTCGTAAATAGCAATGAACACACAATGCTCACCAGCCGCATCCCAAAACCTGTAAACCACTTTGCTTCCCGGGATCGTGGTCTTCTCTTCGTCTTCGGTCACCTTCAGTCGTGGGCAGCCATTGACTGTCACCAGCTAGGGAAGGACGGTGCATTAAGCCAATGCGGCTTTTGTCTGGGGTACCTGGCGGAAGCAACGAGCCAGGCGGGGAAACCGGGGATTGGCGGCAGCAACGCGTAGGGCGTATTGCTCCCAAGGGGGTGGTGGTGGTGGGGGGAGACTATATTCAGGCACAACGGAGATCAATGGTGGAAAAAGTCGGACTCTACCAACACAGGGCATTATTTGGAAGACAGAAGCAGTTCTTAAAACATTCGGCTTTTTAAAAGGAAGATTCAGGTTCCCCAGGAAGCTCCCGCTTAGAAATCACCAGCAAGACTTCTGGCAGCTGTAGTAGGAGAGCCCCACTGCTTTTAGAACACACATTTATATTTATTCACATTATATATAGGTGGCTTGTTGAATTAGCATGCAAAATAGTGAAAGTATTTTTTTTAAATAGCGTACCGTATTCGCTTCAAAGTGCTGGTTCTTACCTTTAAAGCCCTATATGGCCAGGGTCCGACATACCTGAGGGACCGCCTTTCTCCATATATACCCCAAAGGGCACTACGGTCAGGGACGCAACATCTGCCGGTGACTCCAGGCCCTAAGGAAGCCAGGCTCGCTGTTACCAGGGCCAGGGCCTTTTCGGTGGCGGCTCCTACCTGGTGGAATGAGCTCCTGGAGGAGATCAGGGCCCTGCGAGACCTCGTACAGTTCCACAGGGCCTGCAAGACGGAGCTGTTCTGCCAGCCTTTTGACTAGGAGCCGCTACTAAGACCGAGTTGGAAACAGCGGGGTATGGGAACGGCCCTGTGATGATCGAACTGCAGCACTATGGCGTGTGAATACCACTGAGCTGGGATCTGACTGAATATCCTTTGTATACCATCTTTAAACTGAAGACTACCACCTGTAACCATCTTGAAGCACTTTATTTGTAATTCTTGTAATTTATGTGTGTTATCTTGTTTTTATGTATTTGGCATGCGTGACTGGATGTTAGCCGCCCTGAGCCCGCTCGCGGGGAGGGCGGCTTAGAAATCGAAATATAAACAAATTGTTGTTGTTGTTGTTCAGTCGCACAGTCGAGTCCGACTCTTCGCGACCCCATGGACCAGATCCCGCCAGGCCTTCCTGTCTTCCGCCGTCCTCTGAAGTTGGCTCAACTTCATGTTCGTTGCATCCATGACACTGTCTAACCATCTCATCCTTTGCCGTCCCCGTCTTCTTTGACCTTCGGTCTTTCCCAGCATCAGGGTCTTCTCCAGGGAGTGCTCCCTTCTCATTGGGTGGCCAAAGGATTTGAGCTTCAGCTTCATTATCTGGCCTTCCAGGGAACAGTCAGGATTGATTTCTTTTAGGATTGACTGATTTGATCTTCTTGCATATATACATAAATATAAACAGATCAAAAGAATGACAAGGTCGGTTTCTGGTTATCATCCGTTCCAGTTCAACTGGGGACGGAGGGACAACATAGGTAATAAATACGTTAGAACCAGAGACTGATGTGCCCTCATTTGTGAGGATCCCGTCCTTAGACCCCCATCCATTTCCTTTCTAGCATAGAGGCGAACTTTACAGCATCTTGGCTGTGCAGAGTATTTTCCTTGTCCACAAAACAGAGACACCTCAATTTCCAGTTCTAACATATTTATAACCTATGTTCTTCCCTGCCATAACAACAGTGAACAGCCATTACGGCTGTTCGAGACCCACGAGACCCAACGTGGCCGGGGGGAGCTCCCGGCCCTAGTCCCAGCTCCCGTCCACCCAGCGGTTCAAAAGCATGTAAAAAAACGCAACTAGATAACATGGGTACCTGCCCCTAGGTGGCAGGGGGCACCCCTCCTCCTTATGAGGACCTGTGGCAGAGTAGCGGCGGCAATGGCGGCGGTGTTGGCCTGGCGACCCAGCGTGCATGAGGCTGGACGGAGGCGGAGTCATGGTGCACGGTGGCGTGGCGGCGCGGTGGAGCCTGCGGGACGGAACCGGATCTGCGGCTGGCGCGTTGCCGAGCGCCAGGTGAAGCCTACCGGAAGGAGCCGCGGATTAAGACCTGCTCCGGGCGCCAGGAAGTGAAGCGCCAAAGAGCTGCCAGGGACTGAACAACAGCCGAGCCAGGACCTAAGCAACAACTGAGCCCGCGGCCGGGGTGCTGGTAGGTTATCACCCCCCATACAAATAATGTGGCCCTAGTTAGGCATAAATAGTTGTGTAAACCGCTCAGAGACCCTTCAGGGTCAGAGCGGCATAGAAGTAAAAAAAAAATGTCCCCCCAACCACACCCCGTTGAACCGGAACAGATGATAACCAGAAACTGAGCTTGTCATTCTTTTCATCTGCTTAAAAAAATTTTTTTCACCATTTTGCATGCTAATTTAACAAGCCACCTCTATATACAACTACGATATGTAATTCCATTTAATCTTCCGACAAAGTGTACATACACACGAAAGCTCACGTGTTGAATAAAACTTTGTTGGTCTTAAAGGTGCCACTGGACTCTAACGTTGTTCTACAACATTGTCTTGTTCCCTGAGTGAGATGGATTTGACCACAACTGTGGTCTCCAGCTCATGAAAGTCTCCACTGCAGTACGTCAATTTATCTTTAGGTGCTACAGAACTCCCTGCTGCTCTGCAGAATGGAAGAAAGCCAGGAACGCCCCCCCCCCCCGGGCATCTCCTGCCCACAGGGGTCTCGGGGAAGAAAGCACTTACCTTGTAGACACAGCCCAGGGAAGGTTGCAGCGGGCACGTCACTAGGTGAGTCCCAACGCCAATCATGTCGATTTCATTTCCCTGGTGGGACAGAGCAAGGACGAGATTTGGTTGACCACTGTGTGAGACAGGACAATGGACTCAGTGGACCCTCACTGGTCTGATCCAGCAGGGCTCTTCTTAGGTTCTTATCAGGGGAAGGCCTCGGCCTCTCTGCCCTGTTGTTGGCCCTCCAGAGGAACTGGTTGGCTGCTATGTGAGACAGGATGCTGGAAGCAGGCAAGGCAGTGATAGCTCTGGGCTGGAAGGATAAGAGTAAATGGACAATAGATATCTGGCACGCCTATCTGTTTGAATTTGTGCAGTCGGACATCATCGAGAAGCTGCGCCAGAAGACCACATGGGAGGATAAAGCTGAAGAAATTAAAACTAGATGGAAGATCTATTTAAAGTGGATAACATCGGAAGGAAGACAGGATATTCGGTGGAAGATTCAGACTTTGTGCCCGTGGCTGTGAATGAAGGACCAAAAAACAAGGGGTAGAGGGGGGGGGGGGAAGCAAGGAGATAAAAGATATGATGTAATATACAGAAAACTTACAAAAAAAACGTATTTAAAAAAAAAGACAGGATGCTGGACTAGATGGACTGGTCTGATCCAGCAGGACTCTTCTTAGGTTCTTATCAGGGGAAGGCCTCGGCCTCTCTGCCCTGTTGTTGGCCATCTAGAGGACCTGGTTGGCCACTGTGTGAGACAGGATGCTGGATTAGATGGACCCTCATTGGTCTGATCCAGCAGGGCTCTTCTGATGTTCTTCTCAGGGGAAGGCCTCGGCCTCTTTGCCCTGTTGTTGGCCATCTAGAGGACCTGGCTGGCCATTGTGTGGGACAGGAGGCTGGACTGGATGGACCCTCACTGGTCTGATCCAGCAGTGCTCTTCTGATGTTGTTCTCAGGGGAAGGCCTCAGCCTCTATGTCCTGTTGTTGGCCCTCCAGAGGACCTGATTGGCCACTGTGTGAGATGGGATGCTGGACCGGATGGACCCTCACTGGTCTGATCCAGCAGGGCTCTTCTGATGTTCTTCTCAGGGGAAGGCCTCGGCCTCTCTGCCCTGTTGTTGGCCATCTAGAGGACCTGATTGGCCATTGTGCGGGACAGAAGGATGGACTGGATGGACCCTCTCTGGTCTGACCCAGCAGGGCTCTTCTGCTGTTCTTATCAGGGGAAGGCCTCAGCCTCTCTGCCCTGTTGTTGGCCCTGCAGAGGACCTGGTTGGCCACTGTGTGAGACAGGATGCTGGACTAGGTGGATCCTCAGTGGTCTGATCCCACAGGGCTCTTCGTATGTTCTTACAAGATGTAATGTGGAGTCTTCTTTGCAAAGGTTCATCCTTTGCTTGTGAAAGTTCAAACTCAGGGTGCTTTAAGCACCTCTGCCAACCTCAGCAGAGCTGGCGTAACACAGAGGTCAAACCCATGTCCTATGAGCCAGGAGGACTCCATTGCTCAGCTCAGCCCAACCTTCGGTAACCCAGAAAGCCAAATATTCCCGATCCACCTTACAGGGCTGTTTGCAAAGATTGCTTCAACGTGCTTTGAACACCTGAATGGTGCTATTCCAAAGGTGACTGGCTCGAAAGATTCAGGAGGTATAGACACAAGTGCCATAAAGACGTCTTGCCCCCCTGCCTGCTCGGCCGTCTCCCCAAAGCAAGCAGAAGCAAGCTCTTCCGTCGGGCCTTTGGTTGAGGCAGTGGACATCCCCCTAGCTTTTCTGGCCCAGTTTTTCTGGCCAATTGTCCACCTCTGGCCTGATCCTGATTGGTCATCTGACTACCTCTATGTCTACATGATAATTTTTTTAAATTAATGTAGATTTTTATTTAATTATATAATGTTACACTTTAAAATAGCAGCAGCGATGACATAATATATATGACAACAGGATAAAAAGGGGCGCAACAACCATATCATTTACAAAACTATTTAAATCTATAAGCAATTTTTATAAACTGACAACCATTAACTTCTGTGAAAATACAGTCTATTAAGCAAAATCCTTTTGTAGCCTCAACAAAATAGGAAATTCTGGAAAAATATTTAGCACTAAAACCTGAAATATACCTGTTAAATATAATCCCGGAGGGATATAAAGCGCAAGAAGCTTATTTAATAGTTTATATAATAACTGCTGCTCGAATATTATTGGCTACAAATTGGAAATCTGGAATAATACCCTGGAGAGAAGAATTAACATGGAAGATATTAGAGTTAGCACAAATGGATAATCTGAGTTTGAAACTAAAACATAAAAATGAGAAGGTACATGAGAAGAGATGGCTAAAGGTGTTTAAGTGGCTTGAAAATTTGTTTAGCGAGTAAGGACTCTACTATATACTTACATATATCTACTATATATGTAAGATGTACAGATGGAATGTCTGATTTGTAAAACTGAAAATAAAAATTTTAATTAAAAAAACAAAACAAAATAGGAGGAGCTTATATTTGGCAGCTTTAATAGCCTCCCATTCAAAACATTCTAAATCTATCTTTTCTACTAAAGGAAACCAAATACTTAACGGATTGTAGAAAAGTTGTTCATTATGATTAGAATCCTTATAAACAGGAAAAACGTCTAACATAAACAAATCCCAGATTTTATGAACCCATTGTGCTACCGTAGGAATTGCTCTTTCTTTCCAAGATCTGGCTATTAAAATTTTTGCCGCAGTAAGCAACATCCCTATTAACTTTCTCCTTTTTATAGATGGACCATTTTCAGGCCAAAGACCTAAGAGAGCAATCATAGGATCTAAAGGTAAGCCGTAGTTGGTTAATTTGCATATACATTGTACTATCTGAGTCCAAAATCCTTGAATTAGTTTACAAGACCACCAATTATGTATACATGTAGCACGTTCCCCGCATTTTTTCCAACAAAAAGGGGTTAAACCTGGGGTTATATGAGCTAGTTTGATGGGAGTCATATACCATCTCAATGTCTACATGATAATTTATGATATTTTATGTGTAAACTGTTATTTTAATACTATATTAATTGTTTTAGTTAACTGCTGTACACTGCCCTGAGCCCCATTCGGGAGGGTGGTATATACATCTAATAAAGTAAACAAATAGATAAAATCGTCACCTCCTGCACCAACTCCTTGAGGCTCCCTTCGCTCACGTCGTTGCTGACCGCGATGGGGACCCGTTCGAACCAGGGAACTTGAAAGCTGGACAGGAACCATCAAAAACGTCAAGATCAGGAGCCGCCATGCCCTGCTGTCGTCGTCTAATCCTGCCTGGCGAAAACTCCCTGGGGTCTCCGGCAGAGCCAGTTCTTCCTTCCCCAGCATCTGCTACCCGAGACCCCCTGCAATGGGAGGGGCCTCCTGCATCTGAGCTACAGAACAGCTTATTCAAGCCTTCGAAAGCTTTTTGCCAACACTGAGTCCCGAGGGCATAACCCAGGCCTGTGCAGAATGGGAAGCATTTCCACACAAGGAGAAGAGCGCCTGAAGGAGTCGCAACTCAGTTAAAGGCCTTGTGTGGGTCAGTGCTGGAGATCACCTGTGATCACAGACCCCTGAGAATCGCCACCAGGAGAACAGACAGTCTCCCCCAAAACAGGAAGGAAGGAAGGAAGGCAGGAAGGAAGGAAGGAAGGCAGGAAGGAAGGAAGGAAGGGAGGGGAGGAGGAGGAGGAGGAGAAGGGATTGGATTTATACCCCGCCCTTCACTCAGAGCGGCTTACAAGCTCCTTTCCCTTTCCCTCCCCACAACAGACACCCTGTGGGGTAGGTGGGGCTCAGAGAGCTCTGACAGAAACTGCTCTTTTTTCAAGAACAGCTGTGCCAGAACTATGGCTTGCTATGGGGGTCCTCCTGGCTGACAGCACATGGGTTTGACCTCTGTGTTATGCCAGCTCTGCTGAGGTTGGCAGAGGTGCTTAAAGCACCCTGGGTTTGAACTTTCACAGGCAGGCCAGCTGTGCCAGAACTCTGGCTTGCCCAAGGTCATCCAGCCAGGTGCCAGTGGAGGAGTGGGGAATCAAACCCGGTTCTCCCAGATTAGAGTCCGCGCACTTAACCACTACACCAAACTGAAGAAGAAGAGGAGATTGGATTTATACCCCGCCCTTCACTACCCAAAGGTGTCTCAGAGCGGCTTACAAACTCCTTCCCCTTCTCCTCCCCCACAACAGATACCCTGTGAGGTGGGTGGGGCTGAGAGAGCTCTTGACAGAAACTGCTCTCTTTTAAGGACAGCTCTTATCAGAGCTATGGCTTGCCCAAGGTCGTCCAGCCAGGTGCCAGTGGAGGAGTGGGGAATCAAACCCGGTTCTCCCAGATGAGTCCGCGCACTTGACCACGACACCAAACAGGAAGGGGGGGGCATGTTCCCCATGACCTCTGGAGGCAATGCCTGCTGACACAGAACCTCCTCCCCCTTGACAAAAGTATGGTTTGTACCAGGTAAAATGGTAGAGATGTGACTTCAGACCTTTCTGTGGGGGTGGGGTGACGGCAGGGGAAGAGGCAGGCTGGACAGAAGTGGCCCTCATTATGGAAATTTTAAAAAATGCAGAAGGAACATCTTTTCAAGCAGTGATACTCACAATGAGATTCCCTTAAAACCTTGGGGGGGGGGGAGAAGAGTGGGGGGGAAGAAGAGGAGGAAAAAGAGGGAGACCTAGTTTATAGGACTCCAGTTCTGATTTGTGCTGAACGTGCATGCTGGCATGTACCCAACCGATCAAGATTTCAGGGCACTTGAAGCCTCATAAGAACATAAGAGATGCCAATGTTGGATCAGGCCAAAGGCCCATTCAGTCCAACACTCTGTATCCCACAGTGGCCAGAAATACCAGTGCCATCAGGAGGTCCACCAGTGGGGCCAGGACATTAGAAGCCCTCCCACTGTTGACCCCCCCCCCCCAAGCACCAAGATGACAGAGCATCACTTGCCCCAGAGTCCCTATCTATACCTTGTGGCTAATAGCCACTCAGGAGGGGGTTGACAATTATTGTGTTCTGTCCCCTGAATTTTCCCTGAAGGCCCACTGACACCTCCCCTGAACAAAATTCCAGGGGCCCCCGTGGGCTGCACTGCCAAGAGAACATGGAGAAGTCCCTGCAAGGTCCACAGATAGTCAGATACACTCCCTACATTTGTAACCTACGAAGCAGCTGCCTTTGATAAAAGAGTGGTCAAAATCTGCATGACTATGCAGCGGCGGCAGCCAGCAATCTGTTGTCAAAGCAGTGCAAATCAATGAAATATTTTCTGCATAAGTCCCCCTCCTGTATCAGACCTGGGACACCACAAGCAACAGTCCCCCTGAACTCACTGTGTGCTGCAGGTCCGAAACACCTGCCGTATTTCCACCGACTGCCGGGCCAGGTCCCCGCTGTCCAGGCGTACGCCGATGGCTCGGTATCCCAGCTCGTTCAGCGCCAGGGCTACGGCGCAGAAGTTTGGAATGCCGCTTCTACAGAGAGCAAAAGAAGCATCGGACAGCATTAGTCGTGCCCCACTGGATCAGGCCAGAGGGCCATCTTGTTTGGCTGATGGTTTCTGATAACAGCAGAACAGACACCTTGAGTGCCAACACACTTGGTATTTAAAGGCATACTACTCCTGAAGGTGGAGTTTCCATTTAGCCATCTTGAGTTTCAAGCTTTGATGGATGGCTTTAAAGGAATGGTCTAGGGCAGTGGTGGCGAACCTATGGCACAGGTGCCTGAGGTGGCACTCAGAGCCCTCTCTGTGGGCACGCGTGCCATCGCCCCAGCCAGGCCCAGACCATCATTAAAGTGTCGAATTATCTGCCAAATAATTTTAAGTAAATGAAAGCATTTTGGATTGCTTTCCTTACTTTGTTTGGATCATCTTAAGTTAATGTATGGGTTGTTTTATCTAAAGTAAAACCTCAGTATTCAGGTTAAATTGCCGTTTTGGCACTTTGCGATAAATAAGTGGGTTTTGGGTCGCAGTTTGGGCACTCGGTCTCTAAAAGGTTCGCCATCACTGCTCTAGGGTTAACGGTTGTTAGATCCAGCGGTGGTGGGAGGAGAGATTCCTTCATGGCCCACAAAGTAGAAATCAAAATGGATTCCAGGGGAGCAATTATCAGGATGGCTGCAACGGGAGGTTACTGGTTGCCTCTGGCTTTGGATTCAAATTTGCTTCTTATGCATTCAGTGAATGACGGAGGGTGGAACTTCAGAAGTGCTTCAGAACTCCCTTGTGAATTGTTCCAGGCCACTTTGGCCAGGGATCCTGGTGGGTTTTGGGGTTTTTTTTGCCTCTTCTGGACATAGAGCAGTGGTCACTGGGGGCATGGGAGGAGGTATTTATGAATTTCCTGAATTGTGCAGGGGGTTGGACTAGATGACCCTGGAGTTCCCTTCCAACTCTATGAATATATTAATTCTTTTCCCAAACAGCACTGAAACATCTTGGGGCAGAAGCAAAAAATAGAGCTTCCGTCCATGTGATGATACAGCAGGAAGTTCTCCTGCTCAGGTCTGTGACAATAAAAAACAACAATAATTTATTTTTTAAAAACGCGTCCCGCTTTCCTCACTGTAAACAGCTGTTCCAGGAGGCTTACAAAGCGAGCAACAAAACAACAAGAGTGCAATCCCATGCACAGCTGCTTATATTGGGGGAACTCTGCATAGGATTGCAACATGAAACCCAAAAGGGCACAGGATTTAAGACACCAGAGGCCTCGATCTCCGCAAACGAAACCCAGCCTGGTACTTTTCAAGGCCCTAGCTAGAGATGTGAAGGCCCGGGAAAGTCCTAGGTTACAAACGGAACTCTCCAATGCAAGAACAGGATGCATTTCTTCCTTTAGGAGGTGCTGTAGTCACAAGAAAAGGAAAAGGTTTCAGTTTTGTTTTTGCATGTGGGTGGGTATTCTGTTTGTAATAATTGTTTGGATACACTGTGTTTTTAATATGCTAGTTGTGATAATTTCATGCCGAGTAAAAATGTCCATAGTCATATTTTATGTTCCTAAAGAAACAGAATGACTTCCAATCCGGAAAAGAAAAAAGAAGTGCTAATGTAGATTTTCCCCCCCCAATTTTCCCGAAAATTTCTGTTTCCCCTGGAAAAAAACCAGGTTTTTTTTCCGAGCTTCAAAAGTTCCGCAAATTTGACATCTCTAGCCCTAGCTGGGAAAGAGGGCCTCGGATGGCCTGCACAACTGGGCAAACTGTTCCAAAGAGCCACAACTGTTGCTGTAAAGGAGTGAGCCATAGTGGGGGGGGGGGTCAGGCAAAGGGCTCTGAGAGAGGCCCTGAGGAGCCATTCAGCCAGTGCGGGAGAACTTCCTGGCCCGGTCCAGTTGAACGGCCTCTCCCAAGGCCTTGAGAGCACCAACAGGCTTTCCGGCACAGCCCCGAGTCACCAAAGGCACAACCGCCTTACCTCATGACGCAGTAGGTGTCCACCAGGCCTTGGAAGTTGTGAGGAAAGGTGATGGCGTAGGACACAAAGGCCGCCCGCTCCCCGCGGTTCACTCGCTCCAGGGGGACTTGGAGTAACTGGCAAACCTTGCCGAGCCAAGACTCCACGAGGGAAGGAAAGTCCACCGGCTCCCCTCCGCCACACAGGGGCCGCAGGACCTGTGGGGATTAAATGGAGGGATCACTCAGCGATCTGTGCCGCCATCTTGGAATCCTCAACAGAATTACCTCCAGGTTCTTCCTGTCATTTAATGCAACAGTTGCCTCCTTTTCTCGACAATCATTTTTTTAAAATTAAATTTTTAATTAATTTTAAGTTACAAAACAGGAACAACAATAATATAGAAAAATAGTCATAAAAATGGCAGCTAGTAAACAAATGCGGTTTGAATTACATAAAGTGAACAACTTCGTAATACTTGTTTGGTACAGAATAACCTGAAAATATGTCGTCATAGAAAAACAGATTCCAGGAAAGGGAACCACTTCAAATGAAAATCTGAATGTTTAGATGTAGAACTGATATAGGAGACTTTATCAGAAATGTTAGCCATTGCATAAAAATCCCAAATCTTAGAATACCATAACAATAACGACAACTTGTTTGAGGATTTCCAACTACTAGCAATAACAACTTTCGCTGCGGCTAATTTTTCTTGACAATCATGTCCTTCTCGCATTCATCTGTGCCCCCAACATCTGCACTAGGTTCCTGCACTGCAATAGATGTGTGACTTTCCTTGAAGACTGTCCAGAAACTGGAACTAGTCTGAAATGTAGCTAGAATTTTAATAGTAACATGTGGTAGAGGGTCCTTGAGAACACTGTCCCTCCCCAAATTTGTTTGTGGACATAATGCAAGTTGAAGGAGGAGGAGATTGAATTTATACCCCGCCCTTTACTACCCAAAGGAGCCTCAGAGCGGTATACAATCCATTTCCCTTCCCCTCCCCACAACACACACTCTGTGAGGGAGGTGGGGCTGAGAGAGCTCTCCCGACGACTGCCTGAGAGAAAAGCTCTGAGAAAACTTGTGACTGGTCCAACGTCACACCAGCCACTGCATGTGGAGGAGTGGGGAATCCAAACCAGTTCTCCCAGATTAGAGTCCATGCTCCCAACTACTGCCCCAAACTGGCTTTACAGCTTGTGCCTTTTATCCCGGAAGGAATGTCCATCCCCCCCATAAGATCTGCAGGGGACCCTCATTTGCAAATGTCTCCCACTGCTGTAGGCAAGCCGTAGATCTGATAAGAGCTGTTCTTGAAAAAAGAGCAGTTCCTGTCAGAGCTCTCTCAGCCCCACCCACCTCACAGGGTGTCTGTTGTGGGGAGGGGAAGGGAAAGGAGTTTGTAAGCTGCTCTGAGACTCCTTTGGGTAGTGAAGGGCAGGGTATAAATCCAATCTCCTCCTCCTCCTCCTCCTCCTCTTCTTTCTCTTCTTCCCCTTCCTCTCCTCCTCTCCCACTGCCTGCTGATATGAGGCATGGGGTTCGATGGTATTGTTATTGTGTCATCGATTGTTTTATTGCTTTTACTGCTTTGAGCCAGTTTGGTGTCGTGGTTAAGTGCGCGGACTCTAATCTGGGAGAACCGGGTTTGATTCCCCACTCCTCCACTTGCACCTGGCTGGATGACCTTGGGCAAGCCGTAGTTCTGATAACAGCTGTCCTTGAAAAAGAGCTGTTTCTGTCAGAGCTCTCTCAGCCCCACCCGCCTCACAGGATGTCTGTTGTGGGGAGGGGAAGGGAAAGGAGTCTGTAAGCCGCTCTGAGACACCTTGGGGTGGTGAAGGGCGGGGTATACATCCAATCTCCTCCTCCTCCTCCTCTTCTTCTTCCCCTCCTCCTCTCCCACTGCCTGCTGACAGATAATATTATCACCTGATATGAGGCATGGGGTTCAATGGTATTGTTATTGTGTCATCGAGACTCCTTTGGGTTGTGAAGGGCGGAGTATAAATCCAATCTCCTCCTCCTCCTCCTCTTGTGGAACCTTAAAAGACTAACATTTTTATTCCAGTAAAATGCAAGTCCAACAGCGTCTTAAACACCAACAAGACTTTTGGAGCATAAGTTTTCAAGAGGCAAAAGTATCTTACGAAGGGGGCTTTGATTCTTGAAAGTTTGCATCCTGGAAATCTTGTTGGGCCTTTAAGGTGCTGCCGGAATCTAATCTAGCTCTTCTAACGGCAGACTGACATGGCTACTGACCTGAAAACTATGCTTATTCCAGGGTGCAATTTTGCAGATCTGAGCCAGTTTCTCACACACACAGGTTGATGCTCGGCTGATTCTTCCTCATGTGTCCAAGAAAGTGGCTCTAGTCCACGAACGTTCCTCTGGAATGAAAACGTGGTAATCTCCAAGGGACTGTAAGACTCCTGTTTGTTGCTACAATTATAATTATTTATTCCACTTACACCCCAACATTTCTCCTCCACGGGGACCCAAAGTGGCTTACAGCATTCTCCCCTCTCCATTTCACCCTCACAACAGCCCTGTGAAGTAGGCAATGTATGACTGACCCAAGGTCATCCAGCAAGCTTTCATGACAGAGTGAGGCAAGAAGAGATTGGCTTTATCCCCTGCCCTACACTCGGAGTCTCAGAGCGGCTTACAAACTCCTTTCCCTTCCCCTCCCCACACCCTCTGAGGTAGGTGGGGCCGAGAGAGCTCTGACTGAGGACTGCTCTTTTTCGAGAACAGCTGTGACAGAACTGTGGCTTGCCCAAGGTCATCCAGCAGGTGCAAGTGGAGGCGTGGGGAATCAAACCTGGTCCTCCCCGATTAGAGTCTGCACACTTAACCACGACACAGCTACCCTCTCTCTAACAGGAGTTAGCATCTCCTTGCAACCTGTCTCTTCCC